ACACACATGAAATATAATTATTACGCACTATTGTCCCTTGTGGGAATAAGTTAACTAATTACAGTGAAAGCAATAGCCTACATCTAATGCAAATATTTATATATCAATAAAATGACATTTTTTACAATACAAACATTATTATTTTTTTGCTTAAAAACAATCAGTGCAATAGTACTATTTGATATTCTACATAAAATTACAGTGATAAATGATATCCAGTTAAATAGGAGTTAAATGGAGGATGTTAATTGTGGATGGGACTGAGAGCAAAAAAGGTTGGGGAAAAACTGATAAGGTATGGAATATTTCCTTAAAATACCTTTTTAATCTATTTTTTTCTGTTTTATAGGTTTAACAAATCAAAAGTTTTCCAAGTACCCCTGGTTGGAAATCACTGGAGTTCAAATCACTATACAATATTTCAGTAAATCTTCCAGGTAATGTTTATAGTGTTTTATTTATTTATGGACATGCTCATATGGCAAATAATACATATTTTTTTCTGCCCAAAATATATTTGAAATGTATGCTAAATATATGTTGTAAACAGTGAAGCTCAATGAAATATATTTTTGTAATTAAAAATATATTTAGTTTCAACCTTCATATACCAACATACATTTCAAAATGTTTTAATGTATTTTAGGGGCAAGAAAATACATTTATAATCCTCCAGTAGCCTACATTTAGGCTATAGATCAAAGCTTTGGGCAGAGACATATAAGTGATTTGATAATATTTATTTATTAAAAAAAATTCAAATATTGTAATACTGTATGTTCCTTGCTGATTTTTCTTTAAATGTGACATATGTGAATGTATTTTGTTGGATTGAAATGTATGGAGAGCAAAGTATATTTTAAATGATTTTAAAAGTATAGATTTACATTTTCAAAATATATTTTTAAACTACGCCAATATTGTTTGAAAATATGAATATATATTTTTGTACATTTTTGCATGTTTTGAACATATTTAAAAATAGATTTGAAAATATGTTTTGTTTTATAATAATGTAAGAACTGTGAGGTATATATTTTCAAAATGATTTACTCTATTGTCAATATCCTCTATACTTCTGGTTTTGTGCACAGCTTGTTAAAGTCATTTAAGGTTTTTTTCCGTTCCCTCATTCACTTTTCCACTACGCAGGAGTCCACGAGCCATACTTATCACCTTCTCATTTGAACAGGATTCATCACCCTTTTCATCACCCAAAGTAATGTCAGACTTGCAGCCAAGTTTCAGAGTACCAATACAAGTCAAGTAAGTTCACAGGAAATGAGTCATCAGCACAAGGGCTTGACGAGAGAAATTTTTATTTTTGCTTCCTGACAATTTGATGCAGCTCGCAGGTAAATCACAACAAATTAAGCACTTGTCAATTCATTTGAGTCGTTTCAGCCTACAGTCACTCCATGACATAATATGCACTGTCATTCACTGACAATTTCCTACTTACAAGTTTTAAGTGTGCCAATCAGGCACAGATGGTTCAACGCATTCGACATCATGTCCTCTCAAGCCTGAAAACTTCCTTGACCCAGCAGTAGCAAGAGTAATTACATCTCATCATGGACACATATGCCCTACTCACTACAAACAGTACATTTGTCATGAAGGGATTCTTTAAAAATAAGGACTCTTCAGTTTCTCGTGTCAAATTCAATCTGGTCTCGTCCTTCTGCTCTTGCCAATGTAAGGTCATCGGAACCAGAGGCGGACTTAACCATTAGGCAAAGGTAGGCGACCGCCTTGGGCCCCCAAAAGCCAAGGGCCCCCTAAAATTCTTTTTATATGCGAGATGCGCGTTCAATGCGGACGCTCAAGTGGTTGCTCTGGTGTTCATGAGCACGACAACCGTCTGTGGGTCCGCGTTGAACGTGCTTCTTAGCAAAAGTAGGGCGATGTAGAAAATGGGGACGGAATCCCGGAATCTATTCATAAAAACGGATTTTACCGTGTAACGCGGAATGTGACGGAATGAACGGCGCAGACGCATGTTTCGTTTGCTATTTAAGCACGCGCAACGCTCGCGGTTGTCGTCTGTAGTAGCTAAATAGTATTTTTTTTCCATTTAATATTCACGTACACTAGTCCATATCGCGGTTTGATTGAAGTGCACTGAATTGCATTTGATTTATTCATTCAATATTTGACTAATTCCGTGATATTGCTCGTTACACAGTAAACTTCTGTTGTGTAGCATTTTGAATGTACACAAATTAAAGGGTTTGTTAAATTTTCATTGGAATAAAAGATAGATTCATGTTTTCCTTCATTTGATTACCAGAAAAATTCAAATACACAACACAGAATATCTAAAAAATAAGTAAATAAAATTTAAATTTCATGGGGCCCTATTATTGTATACAAATTAATAAATGAAGTTGTTTTCATGAATTCAATTAATAATTAGATATGTTTTTGATTAAACCATTAAAATGGAATACAGAAAAATGGAAATGGAAATCGCAGAATTTGGGCCCTAAGAATGTAATTTTTGTTAAACTTTTAATAGGCCTAAATTGTTGCTAAATTAAAGAAGTTTCATGATTTTAATTAATTATACATGTTTTTTGTTCGAATGTAATATTGTAATAATCCAGAAAAATTCAAACGAAAAAAAAAACTGAATACAAAAAAATTCAAACGAAAAAATTAAACTTAGGCTAATTTGGGAAAAATAAAACGGATTTCATAGGGCCCTACAGATATCATGCATCTGAAGCTATAATTTTAATACTAAGCAACAGTGCATATTATATAGGGCCTATTTTATTTTATTTTTATGAAAAAACATTTTTTTTGTGAAAGACCCAAGAAGGACCATGCACAGTCACTTTCCACACAGGCACACTTCATGTTTGGTTGAAATAATCCTTAAGCATGTAAATTTATAATTTCCTTCAGTTAAATTTAAATGTGCAATTAAAATAAAAAATAAATGTATATTTTAAAGTTTAGAATTAGACAATTGCATAGTGAAAATTACTTCAAAGCACCACCTAGTGTCCAACCTACTCTAATTAAAACCTGTTTAAATGTGAACAAGGTATTTACAACATTAAATAAATCCTTTATTTATAACATGAACAATCTAAAAGATTAGACACAATTTTGGGACACGGTCGTGCAGCAGCGAGCAACAGTGAAAGGAACCTCAAGGTTGTAAATGTGTGAAATTGTATAGGGCCCCATTCCTGTATTTTGCCTGGGGCCCCCAAATCACTAAATCCGCCCCTGATCGGAACGCCTACAAGGCATCAGTGCCTGCAGAACTTCACACAAAGCTCTGCAGATTTATGCAGAATTGGAACGCCTGCCATTCATAAAAGCTGTTTGCATGTTTGTTTATAAGTATTTTAATTGTGCTTTCAGCAAACAATACTTTAAAGAAATACAATTATCCATGGCCTTGCACCTTATAAAGTTTGCCACGCTCTTTTTATCAGCATCAGAAGCATATGAAAATGTGGATATAGCCTGTATGAACTGCTGATCATCAAAGCCCTTGGGATGGAGATACGTGATGAAACGCAGCTATACAGAATCAATGAGCTTTCTTGAAATTATAGCTAAATAAAATATCCAACTTGAAGGCAATTGGAGTGAAGGATAGCGGGTTGGAAAATGTCAGTCCTATCTGTTGGGATTTTATTTACGTTTAGCGAGAGCATGAAAATGCCATTGGTTAGTCAGCAGTGCATTACTTGACTGCAGTGAAAGTGATGGATGTCACTGACGCCCAGGCCACGTAATTACATTGCAACTTTTTGCCCCGTCAGCAGACCAACTTGCCTGTAACTGTACAGGGCTGGACAGAAATCATCAAGCGTTGCCGGCAGGGGAGAATCCAAGTTAGCTAAAAGAGCCTTAAAGCCGTTCTTTAACTTCATAACAAATGCAGTTTGAAAACTGAGCCAAAAATGGAGAGAATATATATATATATATTATATTAACTTCATTTTAACTTAATTATTTTAGAATTATTTAAATTATCCAGCACACATTAATATATTAATATTAGTAATGTGTAATTTTGGCACAATAAGCCCATTAGCCAACATAGGCCATTAACACATGTCTGTCATTTGCAATAGCAGTAGTACCATATCAAATGGGCCTCATATCAATAATGTGATATCCATAAATAAAAGGTGTATAGATATATACCTAGATATATGCTACCGTTATATAAGCATATTTTATAATGGATATGACATAAAAATTGTCTTTGTGAGAACTGATTCTTAAAACAGGCTCACAAAACACAAAAGAGAGTGCCTCACTATCATGAGTTCAAAATGGAAAAGACTGCATGCATCGGTTTCTGATAAAGAACTTCTGCTCAGAAACAATTGATGGTGAGGAGCAGGACTGGTCTTTTATTCTGCTTTTGTTCAGAGCATGAGGTCCTCTAGAGAGATATCAACAGTGAACATTCCCCTGGGAGTTCTCATTGACAATGACAGCTAAATGTTAACCGGATGTATTTGCCCTTTAAAGATTTTTTAAAGAATTCTTTAGGAATGTATTATTTATAAAAAGGACATAGAGGAAGAAAAAGAAAAGTTGATCTACCCACTGAATCATATGTGACCATCCACTAAATAACAATACAGTGCTGCAGCCGTGACGTCAAAACTCAGACTAATTCGCCATGCGTTCCATATGGTTTTTTATTATGGGGTTTTTCAATTTTTGGGTAAAACAAGATCTGTGGTATATAAATTGACAATACTTGGATGTCAATTTATATTTCTGGGTTTTGATGTCACGGCTGAAGCATTCCATAACCCTGCAGGAACATCCATCTTAAACTGGTTGCTGTGTTTTAGTACATTGGAGCTGTTTTGTGGTGCAAGCTGATGATTTTGGTCCAGCAAAAACTAAGCTATCAGCTTGTTAGTTCTGCTGTCATATGTCTGTTAACGTGCATCAAATTAAAGTTTATTTAACCCAAAACCCATAGGCCTAATGCATTACAGGCTACAGGCAGGGATGGGCAGTATTTCAGATACATGTTAAAATATGTATTTGAAATACAAAATACTATTTTGCATTTAAAAACCTTTGGAAAAAATCAAATGTATTTTGTATTTAAATACATTTAAGATTAGTATTTTTGTATTTTCAAAATACATAAAATACTTTGTGCCAGTCAACCTCTTTATGAGTGTGCTGATTTCGTTTGGAAAGAATGAAAAAATGAAAAAGGAGCCGTTTTCTGATTTTTCTACTTTCAATATTAGGCCTAAATCGTTAACGTGCATCAAATTAAAGTTTATTTAACCCAAAACCCATAGGCCTAATGCATTACAGGCTACAGGCAGGGATGGGCAGTATTTCAGATACATGTTAAAATATGTATTTGAAATACAAAATACTATTTTGCATTTAAAAACCTTTGGAAAAAATCAAATGTATTTTGTATTTAAATACATTTAAGATTAGTATTTTTGTATTTTCAAAACACATAAAATACTTTGTGCCAGTCAACCTCTTTATGAGTGTGCTGATTTCGTTTGGAAAGAATGAAAAAATGAAAAAGGAGCCGTTTTCTGATTTTTCTACTTTCAATATTAGGCCTAAATCAAAAAAAAAAACGAATGAACTCCCCCCAACATTCATCACATGAGCTGCAGCTGTACAGCTCCATTCAGCATTGAGTGAGCGACTTTTCTGGAATAATAATATAAGGTGAGGATGTCATGGTCAACTGTACTTGTTAATTAAAGTTAAAATAGTGCATCATTCATATTTGCCTTCAGTCATGGGCGTTGCTAGGCCACTTTTAGGGGGGCTATAGCTAAAATTACTTCTCAGCCCCCCTAAAAAATTTGCGATCAGCTCCATAAACTGTACATGAATTCGTGTCCTCAGTCCCCTTTAAATTTCATCTGAAAACAGCGGCAGACTTCGGCTCCTCCCCGTCTTTCAGCGCGTTCTTCAGTCGCAGAGCGAGAAACAGAGGACAAGGTGTGTGTTTATCGATAGATAGATTGTTATAATATCTGCAGCTGTACAGTTCTTTGTCATAAATACAGTTGACAAAATATCATGGGGGAACAATCTGTTCCCCATCTACTGTAAAATTTCGCTGCGTTTCCTCATCACACTACAGCTGTTTCCTCCAGCGAAAATGAAACCGCATACTTTATGAAACGATCACGTTGCCATTTTCATTTGGAAATTTAACTTTCAATATAATACATATTACAGTGCATGTGCAAAGAGGTTTGCTTGAGCTAAAGAAATAGGGGTGTACTAGAAAAGCAAACAGTACAATTTTGTGTGTGTGTGTGTGTGTGTGTGTGTGTGTGTGTGTGTGTGTGTGTGAGATCAGGAAGGCTTATGGAAGGAAGGTACTAAAATGTTATACCTATCTAAGCAATACAGTTTAGTAAACCATCCCTATTAGTCAAACATTTTTTTATTTATATATTTATTATTATTCTTTATTATTACCCTCATTGGGGGCTGAGCCCCCCTAAAATGAAAATCATAGCCTTCAGTTAACATGAAAGAATAAAAGAGCACTGAATAGTGTTAGCCAACCAGTTTTGATAGTTAAGCTTGTCGAATGTGTTTAAAGCATTACTGCATGTTAGGCCTGGGTGAAATGACAGTATGCTACTTATCGTGGCGTCGGCAATGATATAAAGTGTGAATCGACTGAACTTTTTCTAAATCGTTTACATAGAAAAAGGCCTAAGCGAATATATAATTAACATGAAATAAATATGCTTTTTTTGTAGTTTTGTAGTTCGTACAGGGCATGGGAAGGGAAGATATGTAAAATGAAAAAAAAAATTCTAAGCAGTTGTACACATGGGAAATGAGAGGAAAAGATACAGAAATGGGAAGAAAGATGTCATCTTTTCAAGACTAAGAATCGGACATACAGCATTAAACTATAGTCTTTATAAAATAGGTAAGCATGAATCGGGAAAGTGTGACAAATGTGGAGAATTAGAAACAGTGAAACATATTCTTTTTGAGTGTTCTGCATATGAAAGGGAGAGATTTCAATTAATTCAAGAATTAGGATGGCTGGGAGTTGATAATATTTCTTTAAAAGTATTGTTAGGAAATGGGTCGAGGCTATCAAGAGTGCAAGAAAATGTGTTTAAATACCTGAAAAACATAGGAACAATAGATAGAATCTAGGTTTTTTAATTTTATTAATTAATTTATTTATTTACTTTCCTTTCCCTTCTGTATTTCTTTCTTCCAAATTTATGCACACTCCACACTCCAGATCAGTAGGTGGCGGTAATGCACCTTTTTCGCTGGTTTGCCAAACCGCCATAAAACACCAAAAGAAGAAGAAGTTGTACACATCGGAATGTGTGTGTGTTTGTTTGTTTGTTTTTTTTCTCCAGAATAGGTCCATATAGATTTCAGCCTATACGGATACCTGCACTGGATGGCCAATTTCACATGTATTTTGTGTATTTTCAAAATACAAAATACTGTATATATATTTAAACAAATTTTTTCCACACAATATTTTGTATTTTTATGTTAAATACATTTTCATGTATTTATGCCCATCTCTGGCTACATGTAGAGGGTTAAGCTGCTAACAGTATTTTTTTATTTACTGACAAGACTAGCCTTCGAGCTACATGGCGCTAAATCATATGCGCTTTTAGTATTTTTTCCTTAGAAGGCGCCGTAGTGTTGGAGTTGCGTGTTAGAATGTCAGCTGACATCCCGGAAGTAATACAAATAATAAATATCGCTGCTACTCTCCACAATATATTATTTTTCTGTTCATTTAAGAACATTATTTAGGCTTCTGTTATGGAGGGTGCACTGGAGCAGCATCTTGACGACACGTACGTTAAAATATAGCATTCTTTTCCAAGCATATATACTTATTTTAGATGTTGCATTACTCATCTGTTTTCTTCCACTAGAATGAAAAATCCTGCCATTGTTGGGGTTTTGTGCACAGACGCTCAAGGCCATAATCTAGGCTGTAAGTAAAATACTGTCTCATTCATCCACTAGGTCATGATGATAGTGTTATTTGAGTAGTTTATATTTTTTCTAGCAGCATTCATTTGGGGACATTATTATTATTATTACTCAAAATGGGAACTTTACAACCCAAACTAAAACTATTATGTGTGTATTTGTATATATGTATGTTACATGAAAAAAAAATACATACAAAAATAAATATAAAACTAAATGAAAATAAGAAACTTAGATATGTTTACGTTGAGGCCCTAAAATTACTGAAAGCTGAACTAAAACACTTTTTTTTTTTAAATATAAAAATAAAAGCTAATTCCAAATATTAATGAAAACTACAACAAGTGTAGATGATTAATACTAAAATAACACTACATTTATTACAGTTTGTTTCTTTTTGTTTCTTGTTTTCTTTTTCTCCACTTTTTTAAATGTCCAAAACAATATACAGGTATAACAATGAACATGTTGTTCCAGAGCGAGAAACAGAGGACAAGGTGTGTGTTTATCGATAGATAGATTGTTATAATATCTGCAGCTGTACAGTTCTTTGTCATAAATACAGTTGACAAAATATCATGGGGGAACAATCTGTTCCCCATCTACTGTAAAATTTCGCTGCGTTTCCTCATCACACTACAGCTGTTTCCTCCAGCGAAAATGAAACCGCATACTTTATGAAACGATCACGTTGCCATTTTCATTTGGAAATTTAACTTTCAATATAATACATATTACAGTGCATGTGCAAAGAGGTTTGCTTGAGCTAAAGAAATAGGGGTGTACTAGAAAAGCAAACAGTACAATTTTGTGTGTGTGTGTGTGTGTGTGTGTGTGTGTGTGTGTGTGTGTGTGTGAGATCAGGAAGGCTTATGGAAGGAAGGTACTAAAATGTTATACCTATCTAAGCAATACAGTTTAGTAAACCATCCCTATTAGTCAAACATGTTTTTATTTATATATTTATTATTATTCTTTATTATTACCCTCATTGGGGGCTGAGCCCCCCTAAAATGAAAATCATAGCCTTCAGTTAACATGAAAGAATAAAAGAGCACTGAATAGTGTTAGCCAACCAGTTTTGATAGTTAAGCTTGTCGAATGTGTTTAAAGCATTACTGCATGTTAGGCCTGGGTGAAATGACAGTATGCTACTTATCGTGGCGTCGGCAATGATATAAAGTGTGAATCGACTGAACTTTTTCTAAATCGTTTACATAGAAAAAGGCCTAAGCGAATATATAATTAACATGAAATAAATATGCTTTTTTTGTAGTTTTGTAGTTCGTACAGGGCATGGGAAGGGAAGATATGTAAAATGAAAAAAAAAATTCTAAGCAGTTGTACACATGGGAAATGAGAGGAAAAGATACAGAAATAGGAAGAAAGATGTCATCTTATCAAGACTAAGAATCGGACATACAGCATTAAACTATAGTCTTTATAAAATAGGTAAGCATGAATCGGGAAAGTGTGACAAATGTGGAGAATTAGAAACAGTGAAACATATTCTTTTTGAGTGTTCTGCATATGAAAGGGAGAGATTTCAATTAATTCAAGAATTAGGATGGCTGGGAGTTGATAATATTTCTTTAAAAGTATTGTTAGGAAATGGGTCGAGGCTATCAAGAGTGCAAGAAAATGTGTTTAAATACCTGAAAAACATAGGAACAATAGATAGAATCTAGGTTTTTTAATTTTATTAATTAATTTATTTATTTACTTTCCTTTCCCTTCTGTATTTCTTTCTTCCAAATTTATGCACACTCCACACTCCAGATCAGTAGGTGGCGGTAATGCACCTTTTTCGCTGGTTTGCCAAACCGCCATAAAACACCAAAAGAAGAAGAAGTTGTACACATCGGAATGTGTGTGTGTTTGTTTGTTTGTTTTTTTTCTCCAGAATAGGTCCATATAGATTTCAGCCTATACGGATACCTGCACTGGATGGCCAATTTCACATGTATTTTGTGTATTTTCAAAATACAAAATACTGTATATATATTTAAACAAATTTTTTCCACACAATATTTTGTATTTTTATGTTAAATACATTTTCATGTATTTATGCCCATCTCTGGCTACATGTAGAGGGTTAAGCTGCTAACAGTATTTTTTTATTTACTGACAAGACTAGCCTTCGAGCTACATGGCGCTAAATCATATGCGCTTTTAGTATTTTTTCCTTAGAAGGCGCCGTAGTGTTGGAGTTGCGTGTTAGAATGTCAGCTGACATCCCGGAAGTAATACAAATAATAAATATCGCTGCTACTCTCCACAATATATTATTTTTCTGTTCATTTAAGAACATTATTTAGGCTTCTGTTATGGAGGGTGCACTGGAGCAGCATCTTGACGACACGTACGTTAAAATATAGCATTCTTTTCCAAGCATATATACTTATTTTAGATGTTGCATTACTCATCTGTTTTCTTCCACTAGAATGAAAAATCCTGCCATTGTTGGGGTTTTGTGCACAGACGCTCAAGGCCATAATCTAGGCTGTAAGTAAAATACTGTCTCATTCATCCACTAGGTCATGATGATAGTGTTATTTGAGTAGTTTATATTTTTTCTAGCAGCATTCATTTAATGTTAATATTTACATAAGTGTACAAGGCAAGGTTTAGCCAAAAATATAGATAAATACAAATGTTTTGAATGTAGTTAAATTCATTTTACTTGCATAAAACTGGGGACATTATTATTATTATTACTCAAAATGGGAACTTTACAACCCAAACTAAAACTATTATGTGTGTATTTGTATATATGTATGTTACATGAAAAAAAAAATACATACAAAAATAAATATAAAACTAAATGAAAATAAGAAACTTAGATATGTTTACGTTGAGGCCCTAAAATTACTGAAAGCTGAACTAAAACACTGGGCCGTCTTTGGCTCCGCACAGACTGAACGCATTGCATCCGATCTGTGCCGGTCCGAGGGGTCAGATGTGACTCTCGAGAGACTCGGAGTCTGGGAGCAAATTTTCAGAAATTAGGAAAAATCAAGCACAGGGAGTTCAGCCATGGTCAGGGATGACTTTGACGACATTCAACCACTTAAAAGGAGCTGTCACCGGGGAATCGACGGATGTTGCCCGCAGCGTGACTGAAGATACGCGCATGAGGAGACGTCTATCCAAATCAAGTCTTAACAAGTGAAACCTGGAATACCTAACTGATATCGTTTCGGGAAATATGGTAAGTCTTTCTTTTAGTCGCCTCCCATATGTTTGCGTTTATGAAATAGTCCCGGAAAATTTACAAAATGAATGTTTCGGTTGCAAACATTCACAAGTCTATATAAGACAAATCCTAAGTTTTTCAAGGCTAAGTTTAAGGCTGCATTTACACTGTGCAGATCTGGATTCCCAAATCGGATTTTATGATGACCCGTTTAGACTAGGCTACACCTTCTTTTAAAAGTAACCCGTATCCGATATCTGCGTTTACACAACACGGGCTTAACTTGACGTGGCTCAATGCATTAGACAGTGATATTAAAAGTCCAAACTCTGCACACACTATTAATAAAGCATAGGCCTACTTTGTAGGCTATAGAAAAGCAGATGAGTCCAGAATATGAACGCAAAGAGTTTAACTTATAAACAGAACTAATAGAAACCTTTTTAATGCGATAGGCTAGTTTTTATCCTAGGCAAAACCATTCATTATGCTGGTCTAGCGGTGTTAATATTAGCAGGTGTGGGGTCAAATCAGCCATTGCATAGTTTTTTTCCTCATTAAAACCAAATGTGTTCATTGTTTTTTTGATGCTGAAGGTAGTTTTTCTATCGACTGTTATCGATAGGTGTAAAGTACTGCACTTCTCCAGTAGCGCGCATTCACATGAACGCCGCTGGGCTCGCGCGATCCACACACGAGCGCTATGCGGCTGCGGACAGCTCGAGACAGCATCGGCTCTCTGGCGTTTGAGGTAACGTCCTCGTGATTTTCGCCACTGTTTTTTGTCATAGTATATAGGATTATGAGCTAAACCTAAATGTTTAGAGGTTTAACTACACGACGGCACGGCTAGTTGCCGTAGGCTACATGATGGCTGAGTTGAGAATGGGAACTTGGGGAGGAAAGATACGTTGTATTCTGTGTGGGATGTCCTGAACGGTGCGTCCCCAGTGTGAATATTTGAAGGGTGCAAGTTTTACAAACTTTTGTTTAAATAAAATTTAGAACTCACGAGGTTATTATTTATAAGAATGTAGGCTAGAAGAGTGACACTGGATTATAAATGTATAGCCTTCATGAGGACACTTTACCCCAAAGTTCGTACATGCTCTTAGTTAATCTTAGGCTATGCCTACTTAATCTTATTAAAACCCTTGTGTTGTGTTCAGAACCCTTTCACACTTACGAGGTTACAGAGCAAAAAAGGCACTCCCTCAAAATCACTCATTATGCTATATTATCACCAAATATTGGATTCAATCTTTTTGTCAACTTCTTTTCTTTCATTTAGGACTGGTTTTGTATTTATATTTGCTTCTGATTAATCGTAGGCCTCATTTATCTGAGAGTAGGCACCTCATTTTTTGAGTGAAAAATGCATTATTTATGAATAATTTTCACAATATTTAATAAAAACTGATGAAAATTTACACTGTTTATCACACTAGTGTACTTTAATGTTTAATCAGGGAGTTTGCTTTTATTTTGTACAAAATGGCACAAAGTCACACTTGTGGTGTTCCCGGTCAAAAATGTCCAACCATTCAAAGTGAATGGGAAAGAATGAAAGTAATAGAAACTATTAGTGTTCAGGAGCATGTTGATCATGTTCACGTTCATATATGTACGTGTGCTTGCAAACATAAAGGCCTTGGACCTGTTCATGTTTGGATGCATGCATACTCACGCTAACACACACACACACACACTTATACAAACTATTGGGAGTATTACAAGTTTTCTATTTCATCCTACCCTGAACTGCATCCAATATCATTTCATCAATCTGATAAAATAAAATAAAATAATCTTTCTTTCATTACACCTTCTAGACAAAATATTATGACAATAGGTTTTGAGGCTTTCATGTTCTCACAAAGCAGACAAAAGTTTACTAATAAATGCTTTAGCACAAAGACAGAGCATATAAATATTGTTGAACCATGAAATGTTCTCTATATGGCAGTGCTGTTTTTTCATGTCACAATGGTCAGATTTGTTGTTGCATGACATTGTCTCTGTATGACAGTGCCAGTGTTATTTTTTTTTGTTACAGTATAAATATTGGTTTGTTGTTCCATGAAATGTACTCTATATAAGAATCTTAAAGGGATAGTTCACCCAAAAATGAAAATAAAATTACTGTCATTAATTACTCACCCTCATGTCGTTCCAAATCCGTAAGACCTCCGTTCATCTTCGGAACACAAATTAAGATATTTTTGATGAATTCTGAGAGCTCTCTGACCCTCCCATAGACAGAAATGTAATTACCACGATCAAGGTGCAGATACGTAGCAAGGAGATCGGTAAAATAATCCATGTGACATCAGGGGTTCAATCGTAATATTACGAAGCTTCAAGAATACTTTTTGTGCACAAAAGAAAACAAATAACGACTTTATTCAAAAATTTGTCTCCTCCGCGTCACCCTGGTGCCATTTTGGAGAGTATCCACTGAACGTAAACAGCGTATGCTATTCTGTGTCAGCTGTGTCACGCGGATACGATGTCTACGTTGTTTACGCTTTGATTTGAACGAAAACAATGTATCCGCATGACGCAGCTGACACAGAATAGCATTCGCAGTTTGTGTTCAGTGGATATTCTCCAAAATGGCACCAGGGTGACGGGGAGCAGACAAATTGTTGAATAAAGTCGTTAGTTGTTTTCTTTGCATACAAAATGTATTCTCATAGCTTCGTAATATTACGGTTGCACCCCTGATGTCACATGGATTATTTTGCCGATCTCCTTGCTATGTATGTGCACCTTGATCGTGATAATTACATTTCTGTCTGATGAAAGAAAGATTCTTTTGAAGCAGGGTCAAGCCAGTTCGTGTGTGTGTGTGTGTGGGTGAGTGAGTGAGTGAGTGAGTGAGAGAGAGAGAGTTATACTCTCAGATTGATGAAATGATATTGGATGCAGTTCAGGGTAGGATGAAATAGAAAACTTGTAATACTCCCAATAGTTTGTATAAGTGTGTGTGTGTGTGTGTGTTAGCGTGAGTATGCATGCATCCAAACATGAACAGGTCCAAGGCCTTTATGTTTGCAAGCACACGTACATATGTGAATGTGAACATGATCAACATGCTCCTGAACACTAATTGTCAGAAACGGGATCGGGATCCAATAGCAGGTGAACACAAAAATCCAAGTTTATTGAACTATGGTAACAAAAAGAAATAAAGTCAGCCGGATAGCAAAAACCCCAGCAAAAAGTCAGTTCTGATCAGCGTGGAGGTTAGACCAGCCGCAGTCGAGCCCGCGGGGAGGGGGAGAGGACGAACCGGCAATAGAATGCCACCGCTGACTTCCAGTGGTTCGTCTCGAGCATGGGCTGAGCGGAATAGGACGAAACTGCCGTGGAGAGACAGGCTTACGAGTAGCGAGCGCCAAGGACGGGAGTCCCCTGATGTCACATGGATTATTTTGCCGATCTCCTTGCTATGTATCTGCACCTTGATCGTGATAATTACATTTCTGTCTGATGAAAGAAAGATTATTTTGAAGCAGGGTCAAGCCAGTTCGTGTGTGTGTGAGTGAGTGAGTGAGTGAGTGAGAGAGAGAGAGAGTTATACTCTCAGATTGATGAAATGATATTGGATGCAGTTCAGGGTAGGATGAAATAGAAAACTTGTAATACTCCCAATAGTTTGTATAAGTGTGTGTGTGTGTGTGTGTTAGCGTGAGTATGCATGCATCCAAACATGAACAGGTCCAAGGCCTTTATGTTTGCAAGCACACGTACATATGTGAATGTGAACATGATCAACATGCTCCTGAACACTAATTGTCAGAAACGGGATCGGGATCCAATAGCAGGTGAACACAAAAATCCAAGTTTATTGAACTATGGTAACAAAAAGAAATAAAGTCAGCCGGATAGCAAAAACCCCAGCAAAAAGTCAGTTCTGATCAGCGTGGAGGTTAGACCAGCCGCAGTCGAGCCCGCGGGGA